CTTATCAAAGCAGTAAGAGGTTTACTGACAGCGACTGGTATACCGATAATGAAAATTCCACTTCCCCGTTCGCGCGAATCCTTTTGAAGTCGCCGCTTCAATGAACCGATCCCACGTTCTCCTCGTTGCGAACCAGGCCGCCGCCCTCTTTCCTTTCCGTCACCCTGCCCCGCAATGCTTCAACGTGCCGCCCAGTCGAACTTTCACGTACACCTCTTTCTACTTTCTTTTCAGCAAATATGCACTATTGCAAATATCTGGTCAGGATGATGCGGGGAGTTCGTAGGATATGGATGATGGTGCTTGTGGAACGGGTGACTCGATGTTTTTCGATGCAATAACGAAAATATTTAGAGTACTGTGCGGTGCTCAGGAGTTTGCCCTCGTGGCGGCACAGGGGAAAAAAATTTACGTGGAGAGCCCATAATTTTGCCCTTGGGGCCGCGCAGGGTCAAGAGAGTACGTGTAGAGCTCAGAATTTTGCCCCAGGGCGTCACAGGGGCAAAAGAAGTACTGTGCAGAGCTCAGAATCTTTCTCCTAGGGCGATACAGGGGCAAAAGAAACACTCTGCTCAGAATTTTTCCCCTAGGGCGGTACAGGGGCAAGAGAAGCACTGTGCTCAGAATTTTGCCCCCAGAGCGGCGCAGGGGCAAGAGAGTACGTGCAGAGCTCAGAAGTTTGCCCGCGAGGCGACACAAGACCAAGAGAGTACGTGCAGAGCTCAGGAGTTTGTTCCTGTTGCGGCATAGGAGCAAGAGAGATACTGTGTGCAACTCGGAAGTTTGCCCTCGGGGCAAGAGGGACACTGTGCTCAGCAGTTTGCCCCCGGGGCTGCACAGGGGCAAGAGTGTACGTGTAGAGCTCAAAAGTTTGCCCTCAGAGCAGCACAGGAGCAAGAGAAATATGTACTTCACTTACACAGCCCGAATCTTTTGCCACGAGGTGCTATATGATCTAATTCGTCGATGTTATCGCGTTCGGCCAATAATGACAATACGTGTGCCTTATTTTTATGATTGCATTAAAAAAGGTTGCCTTATGCGGTACGACCCAATCAGACTTGCATTCTTTTCAGGAACAAACTCCTGAGCTCTACACAGTACTCTCATTTGAGGAATAATACATTATAGTAGCAATATGAATTAGCATTCTGATACGATTGTCACTTTCAATTAGAGCACGTTTAAATTACTTAAAAATTCTTAAACGAAACATTTAAGAGTCCTTCAAAAATGACAACTGTCATGTATTTTACAAAGTAAAGCTGTTCAATTATTTATTATCCCCTCTTCTCCTCTTCACAGTAACACCGAGGAGATTGTACATATTTATAAATAAACACATCGCAATATCACCGAAAGTTTAACGAGTCATTATCCATTATTGTCTGCTAATTACAAGATATAACGTGCTCGTCGACGACCGATCAAGGAGTTGCAGGTGTACGAAAACTGATTGAAAATTAATTTCGTTCCCCCGGATAAAACGAAGTCGCGTGTGTTTTCGCGAGATCAACGAGCAGGCTGCAAGGTAATAACGCACTCGAGACACTTCCTCCTGTTCTTCGTTTATTAAATTCGATTGCGTGTTAATTAGAATCGTTATCGAGTTGACATTCCACTTCCCGTCGTTCGCTGCGTTTTTCTTCATTAACGCCACTCGAACGAAAAACACTTGACTATTCCGTGTTGCTGTTAATCCGAGCACACAGTCCCGCGACGAACATACCAGCGTTACGAAGGATGATGCACAGGTACCCTCGAGAGCGAGAGGAAATAAATTACCTTGAAATACGATTGTACAGTTGTTGAAGCTTTTGTTACCGTTTATTCGAGGCTCGATACATTAATCTGGACACTAATGAGAGTTAACAGATACGAATCGCAATCTATCAACGTGTACCGTTGTACGAAAAATAATTGAAATACGATCCATTTTTTCCTACCAACGAATCTCGCTCGTGCAAACGAAAAATACCTCCCGTAACGTAAAAATCCACGTTTAATATAAAAATTTCACGTGGATATTCGAAGGATAGATTGCACGAATAATCGAAACGCGCGCGTTTCGTCCAAATCTCATTTGCCATCGATCTAATCAACGTTGGAGCGCGCGACAAATTCTCCAGTTCGATCTGTCGAGCTTTGTGATTCGAGCAG